TTGTTTGCCGCTTGACCGCACCAACAGTAGACGATTTGGGAGTTGACCCAGAAGCTGCCTTGAGGAAGATGGAAAAAATCATATGGGCTCATACTAGGTTTGAATTTGTGAAAAAAGGTAGATACAAATGAGCTCCTTAGAGCAGAGCAGTCTAGAGGTGATGACAAGCAGGTGGGGCTACATAGAGGGTATGTTATGTGGATACATGTTATATTTGGTTGGCACTACCATTTTATGGACAAGAGTACCACTATATGGGTGTTGTCTACCTACGGTACTTCGAGGACTTTGAGCTGATCAATGAGTACAAATGAGGGTAGCTTGTTTGGTCTACTTATACTCTAATTAATTCAAGCGTGCAACTCCTTGTTATTTGTTTTTTCTTCCAAATACAACTCGTGGCCAACTTCAATTACAAGTAGACCAAACATGCCCCTCCCCCTCCCCCCCGAGTTGTACTCGTGAATTGCAGTCAAGTCGATGAAATACTGAAGGTAGACTACATCAACATATGGTCCACAACCTTCTTAACCTACATGTGCAAGTTCGATTGAACTTAACCTACATGTCATCACCTTTAGAGTCCACAACCTTCTGCAGATGATCCTTATAAATTTTTTCCAAAAAAAACTAAACCTAATGTGAGCACCTCTTATGTCATATACGTCTTGTGAGGCCTCAGTTGGGTCAGCTCCCAAATGAGTGACCATCTTGTTGATGTCTTCATATCAACTAATCCTCTTGTGGCCTAGTAATTTTCCCCTTATGGGAAAATGAAGGAGACATGAGACATCATCCAAGGTGATAGTCATTTTTCCTATAGGAAGGTGGAAATATGAAGTCTCTGAATGATACCTCTCAGCAAAAGTTGCCTACATGCCATAGGTATCGTCATGTACGTAGCATAACATAAATTGGTAAGACCAGAATTGCGGAGAACATCCTGAAACCAATTAGCAGTGGGCTTCCCAACTCCAATATCTTTCGTCCATGGTTTACCGATTTCAAACACGTAAGCTTTTGTAAAAACAAAATATTACCATCAGAGTTAATTAGTCAATTTAATTAGTTGAAAACATATGTATTACAAAAGAAATATACCTCTCCTACCCATATATGCCTAGTAGCATGATCTGCATGAAGAAGAGTAAGGAGATGTCAAATGGACCTTCTGGATAACTCTCCAATGGGCCATCGGCTTCCTCTTGATCTTCAGGGGACTTCATGGACTTTAAGGTCTAGCGCATCATCTTGGGAGTCATGGCCCCGTGAAGTGTATGCTTGAGAGAGACGATTACAAGAAACGGAACCTAGGTGCTTTGAATTTGATAGTTCCGAACCATCAAACTGTAAGAACACAGATTGTTCTTAGTAATATCTCTATCTTTTGATGATAACTCTTATGAAATTTTGTATTAAAGAATTATATACTCTAAAATTGGTTCATGAATATTTGCTACAGATAATTAAAGTATATATACATCCAAGAGAAAATTAATCTGAACATATAACTATGGAAGGCTCTGAAGAGTCAGAATCATCTTATAGAAGAATTTGAGCGTTGTCTGCAGAAGAATCTGAAGCAGAAGCTACAGAAGAATCTGAAGCAGCAGCTGCAGAAGGATATGAAGCAGAAGACTCTAATAAGATCTGAAGACTCTGAAGCATTAAAGAAATTTGTATGAGAGTTAAGAAGCTCAGTTTTTCAGAAGACTCTGAGAGTACTACACGCTGCATGTACTGAGGATCTGATTCATAAAACTCTGCTCTGAAAGAACTACACGCTAAAGCACACTTGCTGCCTTACTCTGATTCAGCAAAATCTGATGGGAATCCAAGACTCTGATCATGCAAGATCTGATGGTTACCCTGCTGAAAAGAAATAATTATTGAAGAAGAATTCAAAGTAATATCCTTTGATTTAGCTCAACGACTCTTTCCTCTTTCATGCTTGACACTAGAACACAGACCAAAAGCATTTCTCTGTGCATTCTACTTCCAGGAAAGGTCATGTGATGTAAAGACAAAAAGGTTCAGGCCTTTTCAGTACACAGCCTCCAATGTCAAGACTTTGTGGACTACTGTGCATATAAAAGCAAGTCTTCATCATCTTCTTTAGTAGTGATCTACAACCAACGAATCTCTAAAAGAAACTCTTACAAGCTCTCATAAAATATTCTTCTTGATGAGTTTATTCTTTTGTTCTTAACTTTAAGTGAAAAATCACTGTTGTGATAAAGCTTGTTAGAAGCATTCATACACTTGTATTAATCTTACATTTAATTGTAATAGTTTCTTAAGAAGATCCAGTTGGGATCAGAAGTTCTTGAGAAGACTTTGAACAGTTGTTCTTAGTGCTTACTATTGTAATCAGTTGATTAAATAGTGGATTAAGTCCTTGTTTGAGAAAGACAAATCACTCTAGATAGGGTGGACTGGAGTAGTTGAGTTCAACGAACCAAGATAAAAATACTTGAGTTTTTACTTCTAAGTTTTATCTTCATACTTATTCAACCCCCCTTCTAAGTATTTTCTCACCTTCACAAACAAGTTATCATTAACATGTGGTCTTGTCGTCCTAGTCGTGCCTTCTCACGTCGTATAGACACGGCTTGGGACATGTGTCCCAACTTAACTTTGCCAGGGTTATTTTCGCTGTTGTTATAAGCCATTGTACATGTGTTACAAACCTACACAGAGATAAAAAAAACATGTCAGCACAAATCCACAAAACCAACTAAATTTTAGCCTAAGTTAAACTCAAAGATGCATCTCCGAAAATAACACTGGAAAAATCTGGAGATGCATCTCCGGACAAACCTCTGATTCACAGTCATAGCAGACACACCATTACCGCCGTAACCCTCCAAAATATGTCAGTGCATATTCTTGTAGGCTACCAATTTTGTTTACACTACTATCTAATGTATCTAAAACAACTAACTACAAATTAAAACGTAAAGAGATTTTTTTTAAAACTTATAAATTCATATTGATGAGAATGAGAAGGAGAAGTTTGAATCTATAAGATGCTGGAAAGGAGGGGAAAGAGCTCCAACAATAGAAGTTTGAATGAATGGGTGAAATACTTTAATATGTGAGAGCTCAAATGTTTTGTTTTGATAAGTTTTTAGAAAATAAAGGAGGAAGACGGAAGGTCTGGCGCGAGCATATGAAACAAAAATGTATGCATCTCCAAATCACCCACTGACTTTTGAATAAATGGTGTGTACTGAGATGCATCTTCGAACGTACCTTTAGTACATACGAAGATGAATCTTCAGCTTAAATTTTTGCATAATAATGGCGCCCAATCAATTTCATATGAAAATGGTTAAAAATAGGTGCGTCCGGAGATGCATCTACGAACATACGAACGTTATGAACATTTGTAAAATTTCACAGTAGTGGGGGAGAACATATAAGGATGGAAAGAACAATTTTTAAAATAAATCATACATTAGATTATTAAAATATAGAAGATTTCTTATTGCATCCTATATATCTCTTAGACACCACGCAAAACTTTAAAAATATTTCTAAATTTCAAAGATGTATATCTGAACACACTTTTTTAAATATGTATCTTTGAAAACTTTTCGGAAATACATTTTCGAAAGTAAAAAAACAAATGAACATTTGCTTTAGTTTGTCACCACCAATAGACCAAAATCACGTTGGCACAAATATATGGTGCTTGGACCAAACGTCTCACCCTCACTTGTTTGCCAACTTCTACTTCCACTGACAACAGAACATAAACCAATCACATGTTTCATTAAATTCCCAAAACAAACCACACACAACACTGTAGCTGTCATCAAACACAACAAACTCGTAAAAATTAGTAAGAAACATGGAAGCAATGCTCATTATCAAAAACACAGTACTCTGCCACTTCACAAAGCCACTCCCAAACCTCCCTTCACTGAAGTGTTGTTCAAAAACACAGTAAATTTTGGTCTTTTGGTGGTGACAATGTAAAGTGTTGTTCATATACAATGGTATGCAGTTGGAATGAAATGTTCATCTGTTTTTTTAGTTCGGGAAATTTCTAGAAATTTTTTAGAGATATATTTCTGAAATAATTTTATTCACAAAATTAAGGTGTATCTCAAAAACAAATAAAAAATGTGTATTTGAATGCTTCCAAAGATGTATCTCTAAGAGACATATAGAGTGTGTTAACAAATTGACAAAATATATTTGATGAATATATATAAATGAATGAATTGAATCCAATTTATTAACTTTTCTTGTATTAGATGAATTGAATCTAATTTTTACCCCTACTTTTAACCTCGACACAAATAACTGAATTAACCTTGACACAATTTTAGTAGTATAATTGTACCCGTATTAAAACTGGTTTGAATGAATAATTAGTTAATTGACAACTTATAGCACTATTTATCAAAATAAATATTTTTGTATAAATTCACGATGAGTTATTTTTAAAAACATGAAAGTTGAATAAATTTATAATTTTTTTTTTTTTATAAATTCTCTCAAATTGTGTAACAAAATTTAAGTTAATAGATAAGAACAAATAAGCCAATCCTAATCGGCCTTAAAGTCATGAGCATTTTATTGGAATTATTATTCCCCAATGCAAATTGCATGCAAGTCTTGGATCAGCCATTGACAGTTGTAGCAGTTAACCAAAACTTAAAAGCTACCACATGCCCATATTCACAAGAGTGAACTCAAGCAATTCTCCTCAAGTTATGAGAAGCAGACATAAAGCATTGCTATTTTGCAATGAAAACACTTTCACCTAACAACTTCCTAGAAAAACTAACCCATTATTAGGATTAAGGACAATGAAGCATGTGGAGTAATTGACTCGTATGACACTCATCATTTGCATTCAAATGAGCAAAGTAGCGAGATATACAGAGGAAAACACGAGTTATTGATTCAGCCCTATCATATACACGAATTATTATTGGGCACAACAAGGGAAACATGTCAAACTTAGAGGCAACTTAGCTAATTTTTCAGTACACGTGGATATCAACACTAATTCCTCCCAAGTGATTCGTTCTTATGGAGCAACTGCTTTCTCTGCTTAGTTTTTCTGCAGAAATCTTCTGGTCGGTACCATATCGCAGCCAAAGGCATGATATCCTTGCAAATGCGGCCTCTCCAGCAACTCGCACACGATAAACAACGCTCAAATCTGCCCATATTTCACTTGCCATGGTTACTGATTGAGAATTTGGGTCGTATCCTTCAAGATCTTCCTCTGTTACCACAACTACAGAATTGTCATCAAATTTTACAAGATCTTGTGAAGCTGCTGCGACCTCAGAAGCCTTTACTAATAGATCAGCTGCAGGCGAAAATCCGACAACCCTTCTCACAATAAGGTGGCGATAGTAGTCCTGGACAGCCTGAAATTTCAAAAATTAAATGAATGAAGATTAACCATCACAATTCCTTATTGTTTTGCCAAACACAAAAAAAAAATTATTGAAATAAAAAATGGATTCAAAAATAATAATATTGATGGGTTATTAAAATTGGGGATCCCATTCAGAAAAAGAGTATTCCCATTCATAGTAAAAATAAATTTTGTTCATTTTCAGCAACAAACTTACCCAAAACCATATTATGTAAATTAGAGCTGCAAAATCTACAAAACTTCAATAGTACTAGTGATAAAAAGAAATACAAGCTACAGACTTACTTGCCACTGAGAGGAAGCTAAAAGCACTCTCGGCCGAATTGACTTTACATATTCATATGCAGCATCAGGTGACATCAATTTGTGGTGCACCTACACCAAAAAGATCACAATGTAAGAAAATAACAGCACCAACCTGTCATACTTTGATTTTTCTACTCTTCTATGATTGGGAACTAACCAGATAACAAATAACAATAGTTGTGCTGCGACCCCGTCCAGCTTTGCAGTGGACATAGGTAGTTCGTCCAGACAATGCATTTTCTTTATCAAAAGAACCAAATCAGGGGAAAACGTCAAAAACAGTAACAAACAAGTGTATAATAACTAAATTGTAATGAGGAGCATAGTTATTACAAGCCTACGATTAGATGAATTTTATAACTACTCTGAGTTCTATTTAGTTTTACCCAGAAGTGAGAGGTGAAAAGACTTTAAGGGTAGAAAAATACAGTTACAAATGAGCAAATTACTAAAGTTAAAATGAGAAACATTGCTATTATAAGCCTACCAGTAGATGCATTTTACAACTTCTACCTACATATGAATTTTTTCTGACTTCTATTATTATTATTAATAATTATTTTTACCCGGGAGGATGATGGTGGAAAGAAGTAAAGCTCAAGAGTATAAAATACATTGCACAAAGTATACAAAGAAACATCCAACACATAATTACATAATATCTAATCAGGTCAAGAACTACGCAACATTTTATAGTTAAGTCTAATTATCAATTATCATTTTCCCATGACAGAAAAACACATGTACATGCAATCAGATATTATCATGAACCCAATTGTATAGAACTTACTATGTATGAAATCAACAGCACGGCATATGTCATTTAGTGGTGGAGCAAAACAGTAATCTCTAGTAGGAATCACCAGATGATCAATCCCATGAGCCTGCCAAATTCAAACAAGAAATTAAAACATTGAGTATATTTAAGAACACATGAAATTTATCATGAAAACACCCAAGATGCTATAACAACCCCAGGCTACAATGCCTGTGTAGCAAGAATATGCATACATAACAACTATAGAAACCCAATATTCCTAATTAGCTGCACAAACAAGTATTACTCCTTCCTTCCATCACTTTTCATGAAGCACGAGAACATCCGAGATTCTCAGCAGAGAGATAGATAGAGAGAGAGAGAGAGAGAGAGAGAACATATCACAACACCCATTATTAGGAAATAATATAAATCTAGTATTCAAAAGTATTAAGCTAGGAAGCAAGTGAAAAAAATTAATCTAAATCAACCCCTCAAAACACTAAAACAGTCAAAACCAGGAATACTCACATGATATAATGTGGTTGGAACTAAAGTCTCATATGGCTCATTCAATGTGATGACCCCACGGACACCAAGATCTTTCAAGCGAGGGACATCAATAGGAAATGGAACCGCACCTAACAATACAAACTGAAAATTAAGTGCATCAGATTCGGAACACCGTCATTCCCAAACAATAGAAGACATTTTTCACGCATAATCAAATAAAAACATCCATGAAGGAGACACCATTAAACACTTAAAGAACATATGTATCTGATACCATCAAAAAACTTCGCCATCAAAATCAATGAGATTTGCAAATCCTTTCATCTTAGATTAAAATTACTTTCATCAAAAAACATATTTTGGTAGATTGAAAATCTGTAACGGAATTTGCAAATCCTTTCATCCAAAGAGAAATTACTTTCAATTCTATAGCCAGTAACTAGTGTTCTAAACTAACCCAAGTTGGGTCTGAAAATTCTTAGTAAAAAACAAAGAGAAACAACAAATCCAAAACACTAACCAGCACTTATACATAACAACATACAATATTCAAAAATAACAAAAAGCAATAGCAAATTAACAACCCAATATGAACCAATAATGAAACCATACCTCATCAACCTTATCCCACCATCGAAACTCAGCCTGAAGCCTATTCCTAACAACATTATAAACAAGCGTAGGATAGAATAGCGCTCGAGCGCCCGCTCCAACCAAAACCCTCTTCGTATCGGAACCAACAAAGCTCCATTTCCCTTCCTCTCCACCTTCTTCAACCTCACCTCCTTTCAATTCCTCAATACGCATAACTCACTTCCAAATCAGATCAACAATTACAATTTACAATAACCTAATTCACAAATTGTAACCAGTTATCAACACCCCCTTCACGTATACCCTATCCACGATTCTATTACAATAAAGAAAATCGATTATCCCAAATTGAAATTTGGGGATCGCAGAGTCGATTATGGAAACCTAGAAATTCGAAATTCTACAACAACAATAACTGGAACGAGAAAAACGAGAGAGAAAAAGAGGTTGATTCATAAAATAGAAATAGAAATAGAAATTTTCCATCATCTATCAGAAGATGGATGAATGGTCGTTAAAATCTGCAAGAGAGAGAAAGAAAGAGGGAAGAAAATTTTAGGGTTGAATTGAAATGGTGAAGCTATTTTTGATGGAAAGAGAAAATGGCTCAACAAACTCTGAATGGGAAAGTAAAGGATTACGGGAAAACGGGTGAAGAAGAAAAGAAAGAATGTTGTGGAAATTTTATTTATTTTATTTATTTATTTATTAAATTTTAATAAAAGAAGACGAAATGAATGAAAGTTACATAAAGGACCACTCTATCTAGACTTCTTCTAATGGATCAGATTACCGACCTCCTATATTTTTGTATGTACTTTTGCATAATTGTAACATACTTGTTTCTTTAATTAATTTAACATAGTCTTTATCAGCCACATTAATTATAAAATTAAATATTTTAAAAACCGAATTGAAGTAAAAAAATGAGTTGAACCGTAAAAAGTCATTTGAACTAAAGAATTGAAGTTAATTTTATAAAACTGTCCTACTAAAAAAAATACATCAAATTGATTTTTTTTTTTAAATTTAATGTGTCTGTATAAAAACTTAGCATATATTTTTATATTACAAAAAATAATTTTGTGTTCTTTTATAATCATGCAAATTTTTAAGTTTTGTCATTTTGATATATTTTTATTTTTAACTATATTTATTATCATTACGATGTTTCTTTCAAATATAGTTAAGATGTCCAACTCAATATTAGTTGTTGTTCAAATTAATATTATTTGTTATTATCCATTATGTGTTGTTTGTTATAGTTCAACTCAAATTTATTTATTTTTAATTTAATTAAATATATTTTATTTTTTATTTTTTATATTATATCTTATTTAATTCAATTCAGATAATCATAATTATTTGAACTAAACTATATTCTATTATTTTAATTTTGATTTGAATTTGTTTAATTTATTTTATTATAATTTTTTAATTTGTTTAAATTATTGTTGAATGAAGTGTACAACTATTTTATGTTAGGGATGGCAACAGGGCGGATCGGGGCGAGTTTTACTATACCCGCACCCACCTCTATGTAACACACTCGTCCCCACCCTCAAATTCAACCGGGAATAAAAATTTACTGCCCAGACCCGCCCCCAATAGAGAACGGGTGCACCCGCACCCGCCCCGCTCCCACCCGCAAAAAAAATAATTTCTTTTTAATTGCAATAAAAATTAATAATTTAATTAAAAAATTGATTATTTTAATAAATAAATTATTTATTTAATTAAAAATTTAATTAGTAAATAAATATTAATTTGATTAATTTAATTATTTTAATTGCAATTAAGGTATTAATAATTTAATTAAAAATATAATTAATAAATAAATATTAAAATAAATAAAATAAGAGAATTAAACTAAAATGTATTATTCGGGGATGGGGTCGGGCCGGGTGCGGGCGAATCTTAGTGTCTCCCCGCACCCGTAATTAAAAGTCAGGTTTTTCCCGCACCCGCACCCGTACCCACTCAAATCGGATTTTTCCCATTCATTTCGAGACGGGTCCCGACAGGTCTGAGTTTTTTTGCCATACCTATTTTATATTCTTATATGTATTATTGATAGTGTCTTATTAAACTTGCAATTGATTTTTGAAATATTTATTTTATTAAGTTGTGAATATATAATTATGTGTCACATATTTATAAAATTTAATTTCACATTATTAATTTATTTAATAAACGGTTCGACCATATATTTAATCGATTAAATCAATTGAACGTGTTTTACTGGATCGATCTTCGGTACCATTCTTATAACATTGACAAATAATAATAATAATAATTTAATTAGTTATTAGTTTATTATTATTATATTTTAAATTTTATTGAATAAAAAATTTAGTGGTAATACACTATCATATAAAAAAGTATTATACATAAATTCAAATACTTCAAAATGCCAAATTTTATATATTATTTTAAAATTTACATGTTGACTTAATAGAAAACATAATTATTCACAGCATAAAATATTTTTACGGTTAGTGCACCATCATTTTCTCTTGAATAAATCCATTAACAAATTGATACCTTGTGCTTGTTAAAAAAACAACAAATTGATACCTTGTAAGGTAAAATCAAATAAAATGGATTTTTATCCTTTTATTTCAAAAATTAATTTTTTTAATCACTTATGAGTTTTGGACTCTATGTTTTGTGATTGATTTTGCTAACAAGGCCGTGTTTAGTAAGATAAATTTTATATTCAAATTATAAAGACAATTTTATTGACATATCATGTTACATTTGTTGGTGTAAACATTGTCATGATAATAAAATTGTCTCCAAAATATATGGTGGGATCAAAGCACTTTAAAATGACACAAAAAGTTGAATTTCTTCTTTTATTATTATTTTTTTAATTCAAGGATTTAATTTTCATTCTTTTTAAATACATCTTTATTCTTATTATATGAAATAGAATGATATATGCAGCTTCTATGAAACCTTAATTTTATTTTTTTTGTTTTATTTAATTAAATTTTAAAATTATTACTGATTTGTTGACATTGACATTAATATGCACTTTTTAAAAATGCATTAACTTATATGTAAATCTTAAAAATTACAATATTGTTATAGAAAAAGGATATATATTAATTACTATACCAAAATAAAATTTTAAATTCACATATACATTTAATGCAATTGAAATCATACTTTTTGATATAATAAAAAAACAAAAATTTATTATCATCAGTCGTGGTAATATAATATAATCATTTTATGCATGTATTGGACTCATGGTTACTTACAAAATAACAATGATCAATTTATCGGGATCTAATACATTCATGCATTGAACCTTCATTTTATTGAGAAGCTCAACAATTTACTTATTTATTTCCTGAGCATCATTATTATTAATTTTATTGAGCCTCTAAATTAATAAATGCACACATTTACATTGCAAATTTTGTAAAAGAAATTGAAGCTAAGGTTGCTATACTGAGTTGAGTTCAAGGATGTCTAGAAAAGGTGTAAAAAGTATTTTTGTTTGATACTAATCAGTTTATCTATTTTTAGTGCAAATATTTATAATTTTAGTATTACTTTTTAATTGATTGTTTCTTACAAAAAATGCAGTTGTAATTGCTATACCACCCAAATACACTTCAGTTTCTGCAATTGTTCCTGGCAAGTTTGAGTTTCGTCTAAGGGTTCGTGTGGTTCACTATTGGACACTTCATAAATGCTACAACTTTACCGATATAGGAAGTTTTCATATGATCTTGCTAGATAATAAGATATAAATTCAAAGTTTATTAATTACTTAATATCTATGAAACAATATTATCCAACTTATATTTACTATATATTTTTGTTTGTTTAGCGCGCAAAATTCATGTCACAGTTAGAAAGAATTTGATTCCTACATTTAAGGAGCAGATTGAAGTAAGTTCATCATTCATATTTAAAAATCTTATGGTTGGTAGCAATCATCCTTCCTACAAAGCTACGACACATAAGTACAAATTGAATTTCATGCAATCAACCAAAGTTTTCAAAGTTAATGCTCCTGATATACCTCAATATCATTTTGATTTCATACATTTCTCTGAAATTTTGAGTGCTACTAAAGAAGACAGATTACTTGGTAAGTTTAAATCTTTGTATAATAATGTAAAATTGATAATATTTACATCTTTATTATTAGTTGAACATATATTAAATTGCTTCTTTAAATTTGTGTATATATTAGATATTATCGGTCGTGTTATAGAAACAAATGTTGTCAATGAAGTGGAGAAAATAGAAGAAAAAAAAAGAGTAAGGTTATGGATCTAACTATTGAAGATTTAGAGTAAGTTCGACATCTTTATTTACTTTTATTTCAATGACAATATACTGATTTATTCTAAATTGATATAAGTTTATACTTATAATGTAAGAGCAACATAATCCATTGCACTTCGTGGGAGAATTTTGCAGAAATAATGCAAAAATTTATAGACAACCATAAATGTTCTGATCAAATAATCATGATACTTCAACTATGCAAGCTGGAAAAAATTTTGGTAAGTACTAAATGTGTTTAAATATTGTAGTCAACTTTAAATTTTTAGATAAACGTTTTTTGATATGTATATTTGCTTTAATTTTAGTTAACAATAAGGTTAAATTTTTCAGATGCTATGGGAGTCTCTAATGCTTACTATGGAGCTAAAATAATGTTGAATGCGAATTTGATAGACACTGTTGATTATATATCGAATTTAGTTTATAAATTCAACAAAATATTTTAGTTTAAAATATTATTCATCTCTTTAAATGGTATTAAACTATATGATTTATAACATGTATAGGATTAATGGTATTGAAATTGAAATCACACAAGGAGTGAGTTAAATGTTTGGTCCAACAATTGTCCCTCTAGCAGATGACTTGCTGCAGACACAAAGAATGACAATTGAGAACTTGATAGAATCCACTGAAGTAATTTTGTTTTGTTTTTTTTTATTATTTACGTTATATAACCCGATGATCAACTTTTATATCATGTGATAGTTTTGATGATTATATGCTTGTTTCAAAACTTTATTGATTCATATCTTGGGGTTTCATATGGTGAACAAATGGCAAAAAATATGTTGGTATTGTTCTAGCAAGAACATGTGAACTTGAGATAGATCTTGGATGGTATTATCAAGCTTACACAAAATGTGCATCAAAGGTTACTACTAGAATCGGGGTTATTT